TTCGAAAATGTTTAACGTCGGTACTTCCCAGCTAGCTTTTTCTCTGTACCTTTTGTGCTAACTTTGGTGCTTTCCGATTTTTATCCTTCCACACATTGTGCACAGTTACTGCTGGGGCATAAACCCTTACAGTTGTCATTTTTCCCGAAACTTAAATGGCTCAGGATTTTCTCAACCTGATATTTACAGCGTCTCCGTCTGCGAGTTCCCGATGTCTTTCTGTGATTGGCTGTGTCACCAAATCTAAGGTCTTTCTAACACGTCTAGCTAAATGTACAATTTCTAGAACGAATTTACTGTAGTGGTTGAAATTGTGTTTCAATTTAATGCATTTATGCGAGATATGATTCTTCGTTTTCCCGGACAGGCCTCAGATGAGTCAATCAGCCATCCCGCCCTGAATCTCTGGACATGTTTTATGATTTTTGGTACATATTCCCTCCAGTGTAAATTTTCCAGCCCTGAACTCTGTTTTAGTTGCATTTCAATTGATAAAGTGGCTTCGACAGAGCCGGGTTTTTATTATAATCTGCGGGCTTCACCTGCTTTTTGGACTCAACAATCTGCACTAATCTCTGCTTCCTCCTCCCCTCCTTTCGAAGTCCCTCCCCTCCTGCTGTTCAACAGAATTGTTGAGACGTTTGTGTTAACCTTCCTCTTCCCCCGCTCTCCCCCTCCGTCATGTGTACTGTCCAGAAGCACTAGTACTAAAGAACGAAACATGAACCCCCTCCCCCACCCTCTCTACTGAATTTATTTTATTCTAACAATCAAGTTCTCTATCAGATAAGCGATATCACTGCACTTCAATGAAAGAGTCGTATTTTCAACACGCTTATGAGTGACGCAGTACCCATGAGACAGAGCATGTGAGCTCGTGTAAGAGAGAAATCAAATTATCTTCAAAGAAATTTTAAAAAAGTCAACAACAGTAACAACAGTGAGGTAACAAACTCAGTAAAAAAGACGTCAACAAACAGTCAAAAAGCGGTGCGATAAATTTAACAAACAACAACAAAACAAACTTGAACGGAATACTGAGCAGAAAGTTGGTGCCCGTAAAAACACTGACCATATGCTGCAAGTAAAGAAAAAGAGCCTAAAGAAAAATCAACGACCGAAATATGTAAGGAGTATAAACTGTATGCGAGAGGAAAAAAGAGAAAATTTTGGATATAAAACCATACAATAAAAAAAAAACCCTTAAACGCATTGCCCATTTGATGTGAAGAAGATGATCCATTGATCAGATTTCTCTGACAATTATAGCAAAAGAAACAAATGAGGACCATATTTTAATAATAATTCTCTCTTCCTCCGAAGATATAATACCCTGGTAACTTCTGGCCTGTTGGTCAGAAGCTATCAGGGAGAAAACTATCGAAGAACATTAAATGAGACAGATCAGATCCGAAGTTATGAGAATATCATTATATTGTGCTTAGGACCGTCAGTGATACAAAGAAAATATCCAACAGACTATACTTCATGCAACGAAATCAAATCAGCCTTCAAAAAATTTCAAAAGC